TTTTCTTCACAAACAGAAGAACTCTTACAATAGTAGACTTTCTAAAATAAATACTATTAAAATAGAGCTTCAAAATAAATATTCTATACAAAGAAAACCTTCTGTGGTAACTTTTCAGGGTGTATATGCGGTGGGGTGGTAACAGGAGAAGGGGGAAACCTTGATCAGCGTGTGGGAGCGTGGGAGGGGAGGGGGAATGCCCCGTGCTGCGAAAGGGCGAGGGCTCGTCCAGGTGGGAAAGTCGGTGCCCGGAGAGCACCGGTGTGAATTTGGTAGCTACTCCTTGTGCCCGGCGGGCACTGGGACCAAGGGTGTGGTGACCGTTTCTTTCTCTGTTGAAGCCGCTCTGCTGACGGTGAACTCCAGCCGGGGACACGGCGTGGCATTGCCAGCGTGCCGTAAAGTCACCCCTTCTTGCTTTCTGGGCTTTTGCTTCCGTGTGTGGGCAGAGGACAAATCCTGGCAATGAACCTGTACAGCCATTAGCAGTTCAGGGCGGTAAAGCCTAACCGCCCTGCCATCCTCCTCCTCCTCTGCGGTGGCCCAGCACCTGTCCTGGGGGAACCTGCCCTCACCTCCCCTCTTGCCTTCGTGGTCGCACCCCACCGCATGGACACGGCCGGAGAGCCAACGTCGTGCCCGAGGTCTGTGCTAATTAGCAGCCGTTCCTCAGTTTGCAAGGGGGGACCCGACCTGCAGGGAGGAACGGCGGGGGAGTGCCCTCGCCGGGGCTGAGGTTACACGGCACCGTGCCCGTGGTACGTCTCAGGGGTGGCAGGAGACCCAAGTACCTTAAAAGGGGATGGGGGAACGGAGGCGTTGGGATGGGGAAGAGAGGGGAACAGAGACGTTATAGACCAGAGACGTACCCTCCGCCAGCCCCGCGGCACAGCGCCGTCGGCAGAGCCCCCGCTTCGGCTGACCCCGAACCTTTCCGAGCGCTCTGCAAAGAGCTCAGCGCTTTCTTGCCGTGCCTTGGGCCAGGAGCTGATGGAGCAGCGTCCGACCGCTGTGCCGGGAGGGTTGCTCTGCTACGTTTACCACTGCTCTAACACACCCACTAATGCTTCACATGGGATGCTTTACCTTCCAGCATGGGATCCGCTTACACCATAGCAGGATTTATACATTAAAAGAAACCAACAGAGAAATAGTTTACAACTATGTACAATGAAAGTAACTCCAGAGAGGATTGCTGGGTGTATATACACGAGTGTAGATTGGCACAGTGGCGACCACTCCAGCGTTGTCTTTGCTTGCAAGGACCATGCATCTAAGCCATGGGCTTTGCTATTGCAGATTTTCAGCACAGATCCCCCAGGAACAGCCAGGGACAGGGGGTCAGAAAGGCAAAGCAACCCCGGGGGAGGCCATCTGGGTGCCTACGGTCCCAACAGAGGAGGGCAGCAGGTAAATACCTCTCCTGCTGCGTTGTCTGGCCTGTTTGCATCTGAGGAAAATGATTTCTCTTATTAAATACAATACCTTATACATTCAACCAACAGTTCAGCTAGTTTGGGGTTGGTTTTCCTTTTATCTTTTCCCCTCCAGTTTGTGCAAGATAATAAATACAGCTCTGGATCCCTACCTGCTTCCTTCTTTCTGGTGTCCCCATACAGTCAACATGAGGATAAACCATAGGAATTGGTATCTGGTAACAGATGTGGTATCCCTTTGTCTATGATTTATCATATACAAGCTAGCGAATGTTATAAATATAGAAAGTTTGGTGTGGGTTTTTTTTTTTTTTTTAAATTCCCGATTCAATAAATATCTACAATTAAGCTTAACTAAACCCCAAGTCATCCCGGTTAAATGAATTCTGAAAACAAAAGGACACCAGAAGTCCCATCAGTACGCTCCTGCCAACACCTACGCAGCAACTGTATTGCAACCAAGCAAATGGGATTCCTGGAAATGCTACATGAGCTCTGCCTATTGCTTATCTAATTAGAGATGACATTTCACTGTCACTGCTGTGCATTTGCTGAGGAAATTTCCTCTAATTAAAAAAAAAAAAAAAGAGAGAGAGAGACTAGATCAGTTTTCTGCATGCAACAAGTACCTACCTACTTATTACAGTGTTGCATGTTTGGGCAAAGATTTTTGTTTAGCACCTTGCAGTTGTCAAGAGAAAGGGGTTTCTGCATCCGAAGGGAATGCAGACCTGGCCCTAGGATGAGTGCACGGACAAAGCCAATGATACTCACTGAAAACCATGGGCACATTCTTTAAATACACTCTCTGCCTTCCCCTGGCTTTCCCTAGTGTTTGTTAACACTAAAATAAACATTAAAATCATTCTCTACATTAAAAAAGACACACTTTTGTACAGAGGAGGCAAAAGTTGAACAGCAGCAATAGAGATGGGGGAATGGGCTGTACTTCAAGCAAATGCCATTCATCCCCAAGACAAAAAAAAATTAAAATCTTAATATTTAATGAGCAAAGAAGATCTTGTTCCAGGAAAGGAGGTACTGGATTGATATCCCTATAAAAATACACCTACGTGTATTGTACATTTAGGTGTTTGTGACTTCTTAACAGAGCTCAAGAGGTTTAGAGAAACAAACGCTTGAACGTCTCCGCTTTGTGGCGTGAGTTAAGACCCCTTTTGCTCCAGCACTGGGGGAGCAAGCACATGTGTTGTGGCCACGGGGTTCGGCCAACATCCTTCTGGAGCGGGTTTGTACTGTTGACGTAAAATTAATATTCCATCGAGTGAAACCTGATGCTACGGATTAGCTTACAGGCAGAAGGACATGATGTTGGTACAACCGCCTGAACGCATCCTGCTGCTGTTCCTCCCACGGAGGGAGCAACCCTGCCACCGTCTTGCTCTAAAAAAAGAGGGTCCAAATCAATGTGGCTGGGGGGGTTCAATGAAAGAAACATGCCTAAATGTTAGAAGACCCTTAAACAAATGAAGCGTGTCTTTACTTCTGGTTCAAAATCCTTGAGGGACACAGAAAGCTTTTGAGAAACGTGTACTTTGTGTGCAAGTGGCCCTTCTCATGGTGTGCGGGTGGGACTCAAGCCCTCACCTTCAACAGGCTGCTGGGAGCAAATCACAGTTTGGAAGGAAAGCGAGAACAAGAAGCCCACCCTGACTACGAATCTGATGCAGCTTTTTGCGGCTGGGAATGGGTATTGCTTGTGCGGCCGTGCCTGCCAAGCGAGCAGTTAATGGTTCTTGTGGTGTGCAGGCATGGTGAGCAGCCGTCCGTCCAAACCAGGAGTTTTTAAGCAGCTGTACTTCATGATATACATCGGTTTTCAGCCTTCACTCTACATTATTAAGATTCCTCCTTTGGCCCCATCTATTTAAGTTCTGACCAGTTCCAAAACCCTGAATAACCCAAAGTGCTTCAGTTTGTGGAAATAGTTGCTTCTGCTTTCTCCGAAGGCAGAAGGCTAACGCTATCCTCAGAATACAGGTTATTAACAAGAGCCAACGCCACCCCGCTCCGTGGAGCGTCCTCCCGCTCCCCGTCCTCCCAAACTATCAAAAGGGCTTTTCTGGCCTGCTTCCTTTGCTCTCCGGCAATGCCTTGCAAATGACACTGTTTGTGTTTTTGCATCTGCATCCAGGCCGGCTCACTTGGTCGTAGCATCTCTGGGACAGCTTGACGCAGCCGGTGGCTGGCAGGTAGCAGAGCAAGCAAGGGAGCACCAGGGAGAGGGCACTCATGAAGGACCAGCGGGCACAGCAGTTTGAGTGGGAGCAGGAGCAGGGGTGGTCGGCACACGTGCCCTCGTCGTCCTCGTTGGTGCAGTGGTAGAAGACGCCCTTGACGAGACACATGCAGGTGGAGTAGTTGACCAGGTTCTGTGCCGAGCAGAGGCACTCTTGGTTGCACACCCAGCACGAAGGCAGCGTCCGGGGCAGCGCACACTCCTTACACTTGCATTTCCCACAGGCTTCGCACAGTAGAAAGTGCTTGTCGAGTTCCTGAGACACAGGTCCCTTCAGGTCCAGGGGCTTGCAGTTAATCACCTTGGGCTGAATGCAAAATAGGACTGCTCGGCCACAGGTGCCGGGGCCATGTGGTCCAAGAGCCTTTGGTCTGAAGACGTGCTGCTGCTGCTGCTGATGGAGCTGGGGCGCCCGCTGAACGAAATCCAGGGGTGGGTGACATCCTGCTCACAGCGCTGCAGGTGCTGGTTGGTCAGGACCAGTTCATGGGGACCTCGGGGACGCTTCTGGGCTGCCAGCTGGGAAGCGGTGGGGTTGTCGGTGTAATCGTTCTCTATGTGAGTGGTCTTCATTTGGTCAATTGGCAGGATGGTGAGCGGATGCTGCAGCCGCCCGGGCTGGACCATCACAGAGTTGGGGACAACGGTGATGTTGTGGGGAATCCGGGGCTCCATTGATAAAGCAGTCTGATTACTGGTGAAAAATCTGTTCTTAAGTACCCTGGGGGAAGGAAAGGAGAAAGAAAAGGGGCGAGGGGGGAGAGAGAGAGAGAGCTCATCGTTATTGAGTTACCCTGCAACCCCAACCCAAACAGGGCTCTTTACCGAGGCTGGTTATTACGCAGAAGGTATTATAAGGTAAACTTGCATTCAAGGGAGTCAGAGCGCTTGTCCAGGTATAAAGTGCATCACTCCTCCTTTGCCACTGTGCTTCTCTCCCTAACCGTGGCCATATACAGCTCCTCCGGTCCTGGGAGGGCTGCCGTTACTGCAGGCTCCTGAGGTGCCCATTCATCATTTTTACTGAGGGAAAGCACATCTTAGGGCTACTGGCGTGTTTTGTCAGCAAATTGCCCAAAATGTCTCATCTAAGGTTTGGGGGTTTTCCCCAGTTGACCCCAACCCCTAAAAAACCTGATGCAAAATTGTGGCTCGCAGGACTGTCGGCCTGGTACAGAGCCGTTTGGGAGCGTGGGGCTGAGCACTTGTCCTCGCTAACTCAGAACCTGCCTGTGGGAGGGTGGCTTGGCCCCGCTGAGGAAGCATCCCGTCTCCATCGGGAGCCGCTGGTTCCAAGAGCTGCTTTCAGCCCTCCCGCCGGAGCTGGACGTTCTTGCCCAGCAGCTTGTCTGGTTGAAAACCAGGGTGGGAGCGAGCGGGTCCAGCTCCCGGGGGGAAGCACACCCACGGGTGGGACTCGATATGTCACCTCGCGCAGGTAATTAGGCACTCTTCTTCCAAACACCAAGTGGACTAATACTTAGTTTAAGTGCTGTTTACTAGCTATGCCAGCTAAGCCGTCTGTTGCCGCAGTTTCTAATTTCATTGAAAGAGTGCAATTTATCCTGGAGTCGATCCAAAGATTCGGCAGCGGCGTAGGACAAGAAACCACAGGAAGTAACTAAACTTAAATCAAAGAACGGAAACGACTTGGTTCAAATTTAGAAAGTGCACATTGTTTTCTAGTAGATGTGCCATTTCCTCACGGGGTGACCTTTATTCATAAATAACAGACTGTTGGAGATCGGTTTAAAGAAGTGGTGAGTAAAGCTTCAGAGCAAGAGGGGGGGGGGAAAGCCTCTGGTATCAAGAACAAGGGAACAGCGAACAGCTTAAGGCATTGCCGGTTGTTTGTGATCAGACAAACAAATCAACCTTTTCCAACAGCATGAAAGATTTTAATATTACAGCAGTCTGAAAAGAAGTCAGGAAAAAGCTGCATCAAACTACAACCAAGTCACACACGAGAAGCGTGTGCGAGAACAAATGTATGTGCTGCCACAAGAGCACCCCCCCCAAATTTGACACAACGCTACAAAAATTGGAGCATGCACTAATTACGCATTTTTGGAAGAAGAAAGAGAAGTGCATTTTTACCCACTGGAAAATGTTACTAGAGGCCACTATTATATTTGTAAATCCTTGCTTTGATAGATCATTTGGCATTTGAGGGGTGGAAAATCTGCCAGTTCTCCCGAGATCAATAGGAGAGGGCTGATGCCGGCCGGGGGGGAGCGCAGGAGG